CTGGATATAGTTGAAAGTATGGGTTTCTGTGGATGGAAAAGTAAGCAAGACGAAATTAAGTATGTTGTCCTTTTCAAATGATTCTAAAGCACTTAGTCCTATTATCCTCTGCACTTAAAGTTTACCCTGACATTTTACCAACAGTTGGAAACACAAATTATGAAAAGCATAAGAGGTCACTTAAGAACACAGAATTGTTCAAAATGGAAATGGTTTACAGTGTGGAATAATTCTGCAGCCTGTTAAAACCTGTATTTGTATTTTTTTTAAAATTTTGCATGCACATTTACCATGATATGACTGACTATTCAAGAAAAACAGCATATACCCTTGTAGGTGGAGAGAAGCAAGACATGCCAGTTTAAGATTTGAGTTAGTGAAAAGTCTGCTATGACATTTACACTTCTCGTCTTATATTTTAGATGATGTTACAAAATCACAAAATGAAACAGAAACTTTTGCAACTGTTGTTATTTTGTTCCTCAGTTATATCAATGGCATTCATTGGTGTGAAAAGATGAAATCTTTTCAAGTAAAATGATTTGTGTCATTGACCTCCATGTCTAATGCAGATATACAAATTTAATTGTCTACAGTTGTTAAACTGTGTAATTCCATTGCTTTTGAGAAATAATAGCATGTGGTTAATTTCATGTTTCTCAAACAGACATTCCTCCCCCTACCCTCTGAACCACTTCTGACATGGAGAGGGCAGAAGCAAAGGGTGATGGGAGGGGAGAGAGTAAAGACTCTCAATCCAGGCAGGCAGCACCGTGTTGTTGTTTTCTGGAATTTATTGCCATGGAAGAGTGAGTGCAGTCTCTACACCTCTGTGCTGCTTAATTTTTGATACTGTTTTCTTGCTTTTCTCCTTCTTCCAAGTTATGCCGATGAACAAGAGTTTATATTTCAGCCAAATCTTAACATGCTGCCTAATCCCACGAGCAATGTTTAGATTATATTCGTATGATCATCAGCTGTTAATGAAAACTCCGCACTCTGATTAAGAAATGTAATTTTGTTATCCCCTCCACTTTCTACAGTAAATGTAATCTATAACTGATTTGAGGTTTACAGGGATTCTTGCTGTTACTTGTACAGAAAATGCCCTGTGACTGAGGTTTTTCCAATGTTTCCAAAAAGTGTAACTAAAGATGGGTGTGAATTAAGTTGTCCTTGTGTGGGCCAAGTCACTGTTGCACCCACACAGCTGTTGTGTGGGCACAGTGTCCGCCTCCCCTATGTGTTTCCCCATTCCTTGGGAGATCCACACTTCCTTCCCCGCCTTCCTAGCATGACAACCCACTCATTGTTTGCGGTATCCTCTTCCTTCTTCTGCCTTCTCCCTCAGCCAACAACTCAAAGGCAGCAACCCTCGTGCCCATCTCTAGGTGTAGCCTTTAGAACTGGAGTGAACTGATGACCTAAACTAAACTAGACTCAAGTGGGCTCTAGGTTCTGCTTCATGCAAGTGCTTTCTAAATAATTAAACAGATCTCCTCATTGCAATTTAGTTTGTATTATATACACCCATGCATCCCATTTTAATTTACAGTACCATAAGTCAGCCCTACCCTTGTTTCTGCCCTTTTGCTCACCCTACAAAGTCTTCAAAAACCTATATAATTGTATAACAGCAGCAACAAAGGAGATGCACACTTTCCAAAGCTAAGTGAGAGGGAATGTTTGTAATGAGGAGAGTTGGACATACTGGCTGCAATTTATACTTTTTCTCCTAATACACCTACTGCCTGCAAACTGCATAGTAGCAGGTGTTTCTTGTACACCTGGATCTATGCAAGAAGAACCTTACTGTATAATGAAGGAGTGTGAGCCTATACATCTCCTTGACTATTCAGCATTGTACTAGGACTTTCTCCTCAAGTTAGCAGAGGGATCTGAGTATGCCTTGTAGCATGCACAGAAGGATAGCTATTATCAAATGTATTGCCCATCATTATGTCCCTACAGTGTTCCCCATAGACATCACAATCACAGTAAATTTGTCATTGCAGTAAAGCATTGTGTTTTTCTTGGTACAAAATACTCCCTTTTGATTTTTTTGAGCAAAGGGGAACATTTCATTCTCTGACAAAAGATGTGTGGATTTTATGTAACTGTTGGGAACCTATTGTGCAGTTGTGTCTTTGAATCAGCTGCTTTCACAGGCTCCATGTAGTCCTGTTTCTTTATGTTTCACGATCGTGGGCCTTGAAATGAGGGGGACTAAGCCCTTTCTAAGATTAGGTTGTGGGAGGTTTAAACTTCTCTCTCTCTCTCTCTCTCTCTCTCTCTCTCTCTCTCACACACACACACACACACACACACACACACACACACACACACATCCAGCTGCTTCCCATTGGCCTACAGGGCCACGGAGGGGTGGCATGCCCTTCGGGGCCAATCCTCAGGAGTTAACAGTCAGAAGTACACTAAAAATAATCAAGCAGAGGAAAAATGACAAAAACTGGTACTGTACTTGAGGCTTTCTTGATATGACTAAGATAACAATCAATTCTATGCAGCTATATTTGGAACTAAACTTTACTAAACCCAGAGGAGATTTCTGCTGCACATACAAGTACTTTAGCTCCCCTTGAGTGTGCCTCGTGGCCCTGCAGCTGTCAATTAAAAGAACCCTAAATCTAGGGATGCCTTTCTTTTTCATTTTTTTGTCTGCTTACATATTTTCTTTTGATTTTAGTTAGTATGTGCTAGATTTCATATACAGTATACAGTATGTCTCCAAATTTTCCTGGAGGTGCTGCTGCTGCTGATCCTTTTGCTTGTTTCTCCCACCTCCATTGTGTCTTCAATGTCAGGCTAAAGGCTGAGTGTCCACCTAAGACACCAAGACTTCCACTAAATGAGGGGGGGGGTCAGGGGGTTACAGGTTGAGAGGTCCTCCTTCATTACCTTTTCCCTCTAGTAGCCACACCTGGATATGGACCCCTGCCCAGGAGTCCTCCACATAAAAAGAATCCACTAGCTTCTCAGTGCAGAAGATGGAGTGTGGCTCTCCTCTTTTTCCCCAAATCCTTGTTATCCCAAACAGCAGCCCACTAGATGCCACCCCCACCTCCTTGCTCAGCTATCTGCCACCTCCCCCACTAGAAGTATTGTCCCGTATCTATGCCTGCCTGAGGCCCAGCAACTGCCATGTTCAGCAGGTCTTCCAGGGAGCATCATGTGAGGACAGACAGCCCATTGGGGTGGCAGAAGTGACCCCTTCACAAACCACAGCTATAGTTTCTACTTACATTTCCTAGCAATGGAAGGAAAGAGGCAATACTGGAGGTGACATATAGCCATCTTGACCACAAAGCATTAATTTGATAGCCCTAATTTACTTGAAATTATCTAAAATATTTATAATGCCATTGAAATTGGAAGTCATAATTACATGCCGTGGCAGTAAATTCCACAATTCAACTATATGCTGTATGAAAAAGTACTGTACTTCTTTTCATCTGTCATGAATCATTTCCCCTTCAGTTTCAGTGGATGTCCCCATTGGCTTCTAGCATTAGGAGAGAGAAACAAGTTTTCTCCATACCATGCAGACTTGATTTCTCCACATTATGCATAATTTCATACGGCTTATAATTTTGTTGTTGTTTAGTCATTGTGTCTGACTCTTCATGACCCCATAGACCAGAGCACGCCAGGCCCTCCTGTCTTCCACTGCCTCCCAGAGTTGGGTCAAATTCATGTTGGTAGCTTCAATGACACCGTCCAACCATCTCAACCTCTATCGTCCCCTTCTCCTCTTGCCTTCAGACTTTCCCAACGTCAGGGGCTCTTCTCGTGAGATGGCCAAAGTATTGGAGCCTCGGCTTCAGGATCTGTCCTTCCAGTGAGCACTCAAGTTTGATTTCTTGTAATTTCTTGTCAGGGTTGATTACAGCTTGTAATACTTCACCCTTATTTATCCTCCTTGTAAACTAAGAAGCACTAAAAATTACAACCTTTTATTATAAGGATATTACTTCAGCTCCTAGATCATTGTCATGCCTTTTATTCTTGTTTATAAGTTGTGACAACAATTGTAAACAGTAATTCAGATGTGATCCTCTGTGAACATATATAAGAGCAGTATGGTACGGGCAGCTTTATTTCTGCTTCTTCCATAACTGTTCTATAAGGTTAATTTTGATCAATCAGCACAGTTAAGATTTTTCCTTTTTAAAATTCAACTATGTACGTAGGCTTGTGATACTATTAACAATATTGAACAGAACATGGTGGATTTGTTATGTATTCAGCCAAATACATAACGGTTCAAATCCCTGAATGCCCATGAAAATTCACAGAGGTGGGAAGGAGGGGGAAAGAGAGATTGGCACTGGTAAAAACCACTCCTTAAATGTCTCACATACCTTGGAAACCCTGCCAGAGTTGTCATAACTCGGAATCCATTTGAGAACATAAAATATGTGTGCGCAAGTAGGCCAAGTCTTTTGTGACTAGCCTGTCAGTCTTCAGCTCCCTTCCCCCAAGCCAGTTCTGGGGTCCTCCTTCGTAGTCTGTCTGTCTGTCTGTCTGTCTCTCTGTCTGTCTGTGTCTCTCTCTCTCTCTCTCTCTCTCTCTCTCTCTGTGTGTGTGTGTGTGTGTGTGTGTGTGTGTGTGTGTGTGTGTGTTTAATGCCTATGAAAAGCGCATATCCCCTATGGTAGGGGCTGGCTCCCATTAAGCAAAAGGAAGAAAGGAAACTTTGTTTAAAGGGTTTTATACAAGCTTCGGTACACCCAACGCGTACTTGGTAGAGCTTAATACTGTTTCATAAGGAGATAAGAAGGGAGGGGCAGGGCATGAGGGTTGTTATGGGGAGAGAAGCGGCTCTCCTTCCTGAGGGTCGCCGCCGGGAAGAAAGGGACAGCAGCCTTGGTGATGCCTCTGGAGTCCGAGCGCTCGTCTGAAGGGAGCGCAGCCAAGCCTTGAGATTAAAGGTGGGCGCCGAGAACCGCGGAGGGTAGGTGATCGGGAAAGGTGTCACGGAGAGAAGCCGGCGGGGTGTCTCCTTTAAGCCGGAGCTGTGGCAGACCCCCCACACACACACACTTGGGTCCCGCTGCCTGGACACATCAGGGCCCCTTGTTCTGCATGCGGGGCAGTTCAAGCCATTTATCCCATCGGGTGCCCCCCTGCCCCCCCCCCGCTTGATCCTCCCTCCATTGCCTCTTGGTAGAGCGTCGCCAGACTCTTCCTATCAGCCCGGCTTGTGGAGGGAGGGGAAAGAGAGGAGGAGGAAGAGGACTGGGGAGATGCGTGGCTTTTTAATTGATTTCCCCCCCTCCATTATTATGATGATCATGGGGAGGGGTTGGTGTGGATTGCTGAAGGGACAAAATGCTGAGCCACCCCCCACTCGGTAGGGAGTCCTGCCTGCTCGCCAGCGGTGTGGGGGCCACAACACCCCCGCGCCGGTGTGTGTTCGCAGCCGGGCGGAGCGCTTCAGCCAGAGAAGGGGGCGACGGGCGAGGAGGCGGCCGAAGCATGTTGGCCCTCCATCAACTCCCTCCGGAAGAGGAGCGCTACCGGCAGGTCCACGGCAAGCAGCGGGTAAGGCAAGCTGGGCTTTTCTTCCCCGCTTTGACTCACGGCGCCCTCGTCCCGCTCTCCTAACCCGGTCGCTACAGCCTTTCCTAGTAAAAGCATATAGATTTCCTACCGATGCAGCCTCGCGCTTTCTTCTCGCGAAGATGTCAGGAGGCTAGAAAGGTAGCAGAGGTTTGTTCCGTGGGAGCCAGTCTTCAAACGGCGTCTCTTCTGCCGGGAACTTGTGGGTGTTACTAAATGTTCAGGTTGTTTTAAAAAAGCGGGACGCACGTGATTGCTTGTAAGGCTTCCTCCGGCGACCGTGAGTGCGAACTGAAGGAACCGAGAGGAGTCAATGAAATTGCCTTACACCAAAACTCTTGTCCTCTCATCAGCCGGCTGGCCAAAGGAAGGTGGCATATATGCAATGTTGGGGTAGTGGGGGCCTGAGTTCAAATCCCCAGGAGGCCATGGAAATTCCTAGGGGTGGGGCAGGGGGAGGCTTGATGGCATGTAACAAATGAATTTCCTTCTTCTTTCCTTTTTCATGAATAGTGTGAAAAGGTTTACAATGGATAATTGTACCTTTAGAAGTTGGAAATGGCAGTTATTCCGAATGGATAAACATGAACTGTAGCGGCATGTCCTCACACGGTACATTTTAAATTGTATCCTTAAAAACTAAAATACTCATTTTATGAACATCGTCAAGGGGTGGAATTGAATGCAGCTCCCTGTAAAGCGCAGATCATAAGGAAACCTGCATTATTTGGCCCATAATGTGTGAAAGAGGATGGAGAGATGTAGTAGGAAGAAAGCCATTTTCCGTGCTCGTCAATGTAATCTGAGCACCTCCCCGAGGTCCGCTGTTATTCTACTCTTGCTGCTCACTTGAAAGGAGCTGTGACTCCACCAAAGGAAATCCCTACTCGCCTCTTGGGAAAAATCCCCAGCCTTGCCTCTGTGCGCGCTGGCAACGAGATAAATGTTATTCAGTGGCCTGCGGGGAGAGGAGATTCCCTGCCCTTCCCTGTACTGATCGTGTCCATAGCGTCTTGGGGCGCCTTTTAGCATCTGGGCGAGAGGACAGCGGGGCTCCCAATCAATCCTGCAACGGGACCATTAACTCCCTCTGTCCTTCGCCCACCTGCTTGTGAGTTGAGTTGCCTTCCTCCTCCGGCGCTGAAAGTGACTAGCCCCCGGCTATGCCCTCCAGCTAGGCGAAGCAGTTCGGCAAGTTGCACAGAGCGAGCGAGCGAGCGAAAGAGAGCGAGCAAGAGGTGGTCGTGGCAACCCCGCAGTTTCCAGCTCCGTCTGTCTGGTGGTTCCGCGGACCGATGGCCAGCAAGGAGTGTCAGGGAGAAGCGGGAAAGGCACCCCCTTCTCGCTACGTCCATTGCCACTGAACCCACTGGAGAGGTTGCGGCGGGAGCAGCACCTGCCACGGGTTGGCGCCCAGCCTTCTTATGGCCGGAGCCGCTTGCTGGGACTGCCTCCGGAGATCGAGGGCTGAGCAAGGAGACAAGCGTCGGTTCTGCTTGCCGGTCCCGTCCGCGTTCGCTGGCCGCAGTAACAGTTTGGATAAGAAGGTGCGAATAAAACCGATCGCTTTCACGTGGGTTAGCCTCTCTTTCGTGCTCGGCGATTCCCGTGCAGAATTACTCCCCTTTTTCTCAGATCTCACTTACACCCAGTTCCTCCTCGCACGGTGTGATTGTGGCTCCAGTCTGAGCAGAGCACATAAACAGAGATTATCGTGTCTTTCAGAATTCAACCTGGTTTAGATTTCTCGTCTGGTGTCCCAAATCTCCTCCCTGCTCCATTTCCGCTAGCTCTTGGAACTAAAAGGCAAACATTATTTAGCGGCATTCTTCCCACACAACAAACTGGAGTAGGAAATCCTGATGTTGAAACACGCACGCTGGAGTGAGAATCCCCAACAAATTATTGTTATACCCTAAGAAGAACTTTCTCTTTCAGAAGGAAAGGAGGAAATTGGCTATTTCTTAATTTAGAGAACATTAATCGGTTTAGTGAGGGGAAGTGACTATATAAAGCTGGAAACCATGATCTTATGGAGGGCCAGATGTGAGCCTGTTAAAATATATATTGATTGAGTGGGGGAATGGTTTAAATAAGCTCAGAGAAAACCGCAGTAGGATGCAATGATCAGATATACTAGTGACCAGAATGGGTCAGTGCTCACAAAGAAGGTTTAAAACCATCGCCACAAACAATTCCAGTTGTAAAAAAAATACGGACATTTTAATAGTAAATGTGGCTGCATAAAAAACCTGGTGGGGAGCTGAAAATAAGAGAAGTAGCCCACATTTGTAGGTCCAATAGCAGGTAAGCTAACATTCATAATGAGGCTGGTAACACATGTTAAGAGCAATAAAACAGGCTCCCCCCCCCAGACTATTCACAACAAGAAGGAGAAACTGGTAGCCCTCCTCTCAGCACTGATGGTGAAATCTTGGCAGAGGGCACAAAGAAGGCAAAACTCTTCAACTCCTATATTGTCTGGGCTTCCCTCAGGGGAATCGTATGTATCCTTGTGCAAGTCATGTGACTCCTGAGGAGCCAGGAGTTCAGTCTTTGATAAGGAGCTGGTCCTGAACTATCTAGCTACCTTAAAAGAGTGACAGTCTTCAGGGTCAGATGAATTGCACTCTAGGGTACTAAAGAAACTGGGTCTTTGAGAAATCTTGAAAATTGGGTGAGGTGCCAGAAGAACAGAAACAGAGCTGTCTATCAGAAATATGAAAAGGCAAACCCCAGTGAAAGGTGATGGATCAGTCTGACTTCAATACTGTGGAAGATACTGAAAGAACTGAGTATACTTGCTATGGAGAAGAGAGGAAATGATATCACATGATAATGTTCTTCAGATGCTTGAAGAGATATTACATGAGCAAGAACCTGCTCTCTGGTACGCATGAGAAGGCTAAAGCTAACAAATGCACAGGAGGGGAGGTTCTGGCTGAACTTTAGGAGAGAAGTCTTTACTGTAATAGCAGTTTGACAACAGAATTAATGAGTTGCTTGGGTCTTGTGTGTGTCTTTCTTCCTCCTGGTCTTCCAATGGAGGTTGCAGCTCTGGATTTCCTGCATCTAGCGGGGGACCAAATTAGTGACAATGTAGGATTATCCCCAAACCACTGGCCAGTTATAAGATTCATCTCTGCCGACAGATTACACCACAGAAATCATGGATCCATTAGTGTATGGTGTTGCAGTGGCACGAAAACACTGATCCAAGGCATGGATCCTCATGGATCCACATGACATTTACATAGGATCATCCCCAAACCACTGAAGAATCACAGATCCCATATGTGCCCATAGACGACACGACAGAAATCATGGGTCCTTCAACACATGGCTTTGCAGTGGCACAAAACATGGATCTGAGTGAGGCATGGATCCTCATGATTTTAATGTAAGAGCATTCTACTGATCAACAATAGGACCCATCTATGCCCACAGACCACAACACAAGATTTCTGTGTTGTAGTCTCTGGACATGGTTGAGCCCAGTATCTGGACAGTGATTTGGGGGTGGTCTAACATTAAAATAATATACAGCCATGAGGATCCATGCCTCTGTTACTCCCAGAGCTTGGTGTCTCAGCTAATTCTATGAAGCTAGGGCCCAAGCAATAATAATATTAGGACAGTTTCTTGAAGGAAATGGCAACAGGTTTATTCAGATAAAACAAGTGTGCACTTGGGTGCCCAGCAGGCTGGGGACCCTGAGGTCAACAGGGTTAAAGTTTTTGTACAATTCTAAAAAGGAAACGAAAGTATACAGCAGTTTCATTGGTCCTTGAGGACTATGTGCATTGGTTGCAATTTCTCGCATCTTAGCAAAGCAGTTAGTTTCTCATGTGTAGAGTAGCTTATCCCTTCTTACACCTCGGATCCGTTTTTGTGCCACTGTAAAGCCATGCACTGAAGAACTGGTGATATCTATACTATAGTCTGTGGGCATAGATGGGATCTGTGATTTGATGTTGATCTGGTTAGTTTATAAAAAAATTGTATGAAATCATCAGGATCCATTCTTGATTTTATAGGTCCGCCTTTTACTCTGCTCAAATCCTTGTCATTAAAAAAAAACCCAATTAGTATGTAATAGTAAGGCACCTGAGTTCTCTTACTTTAACTGACATTTTCATTATATTTTGACGTAAATTATTTTGAAACCGAGCATTCACTAACATTGATCTCGTCAAAGCCCCCATTCTGAGAAGATACTGTACTCTTAGCGCTTTGTTTCCCGTCAAAAGCGCAGGAAAGAGTTGGCGGGAAATGGAGGCCACAGAAGTAGAGGTGGGGGCAGGTCAGGGGTTTGCAGTGGAAGGACCGGCAAGGGATTCCCTCAGAGATGTCTGCTGAAACCGATACCTTGGGAGCTGCCTGCCTTGTTGCCTGCCTTGTGTTGCGGATGGTATATTTTTCCCTCTCAGCTGGAGGCAAGGGAAACCTACAGCAGTCTGGCAGGCAACCCCGCCACCTTCCCAACATTGCAGCTATAAATAGTTGTGACCCGGCTATGTCAGATTCCCGGGGCTCATTGCTTCCCTGCGCAATGGAAAGTCTGAGGTAAAAAAAAAAAACCCCAAAACAAAACACCACCGTAAAAATAGCGCAACAGGGACATTGGCGCCGCTGGGAGAGAATCCTAGAGGCTGGCAGCACAGAGTCCAGACGACGAAGGTTGTTTCCCGCCCTTACTGAAGTTCCCAGCGCAGCCAAAAGTTCACATTCATTTTTGCACCAGAGCGGCATCTTCTTCTCTCAGGGCGGTTTTCCTGGGCCATCTGAGAGCTCCGGGTCCAAATAAATCCTAGAGTGAAGTAATGTGAGGCAGGCGCTTCAAGATAAATTCTAGACGAGACAAAATGTTCCTGCCCCAACCTGACATTTTAAAAATGAACAGAGCGGTATTGTTGAGTTTTATTTCGGAGGAGAAAATGTCAAAGGCCAGAGTCGGCTGCAAACAAAGGGCAGTTTCCCTT